CGGGGCGCGTGGTCCTCGCGGGATGTGCTGCGGTGTCATGGGTCCCCAGGGCCACAAGCAGGCTGAAGGGCTGTGATGAGGTATCACAGGGAGGTTGCCCTCATCAGCGCCGCTAGCCCTGCTCCCGGGTTCAGCCTCAGAGTACATGGTTGACAGGTTCCTGATCTTCTCTGTCCCCATATTTGTTTGGTCCATAGTTCCCAAGGAAGCCCACTGGGTCCTGGCTGCACCAGGCCTGGGTGCACAGTTCTTCATACAGTACATACATTAGAGACCCTGGAAGACCCTTCGCCACTGTCTCCTCCTCCTGGCCCAGTGCCACCTTCACTTCTTCTCTAGCTGCTCTAGCAGCGGGTTGGCTTCGCTCTCGGGCGTCTTGATGCTGTCTGTCCGCACAATGCAGGTGGTCATCTTCAGGATCAGCTGCTGCCTCTCCTGTTTCAGCTCTTCTATCTGGGCCTTCAGCTCAGCGTTCATGAGCTCTAGACGCTCGGACTCCTAGCAGGACAGAAACACAACCGCATGTGACTTTAGTCCAACAGGACAAGATACAAGGAGAAACAATTTGGCCAACAAGCCATCTCTGCTCAGTGCCGCCCCTCAGCCCCTGCAGCACAGCAGCAGCCTGAAGACCTGCCAAGGCACCGGGCCCCTCCAGGCAGTTCATCCCCAGCCCTGCTGCCTTAAGTGCCACCGCAAGGAAATACACAGCCACCTCCTAGGACAGGTCTCTGCTGCACCACAGCAAAACCCCTGCCTGGATGCTTTCCATGGTCTGGAAGGGTGTGTGGAAACAAACCCATGTTTAAGTTTTCACCCCCCACCTGCAAGGATCTGCCCTTGTGAAATGGCTCCTTGTCCCCCGCTGTGTCATTTGCTCATGTCCCACCACCCCTTGCAGAAAAGCAGCAAGGTGCTGTGAGAGTTTTTCTGCCTTGGGGTCACGGGTGAGAGGGCATCTGGCTGCTGAATGGGGAAACCTTCAGGAATTTGGGCAAGGGGCCAGCATGCTGTCGGCCCCCTGTCCTGTGCCACACTCCCACAGGTGCTCCTGCTCCAACACTGAGGCAGAGGCACTATCGGCCCTCCCTCCCCCAAGCCCAGAGCCCATCTCCAGCTCTCTCCAGCCCTGGTACCACAGGCACAAGGATGCTCGTGAGCTCTGCCTGGGCACGCACATGGCCACCACCTTCATAGCCTCGTGGAAAGGGGGGCAACAGGCCTGTATTTTCCCAGATAAGGGCACAGGAGCAAGGGGAGGCAGAGGGGGAGTTTAGGCGGGAGCGTTGCCTGCAGCTGGGGCACCTTTCTAGGGAGGTGCCCCCGCCAAGGTTCCCGCTGTGCCCTGGGACAGGTCAAGGCACCCACCCGCTGCAGGAACTCCGTCCTCTCCTTCTTCTTGTTACGACATCGTGCTGCTGCTACTTTGTTTTTCTCCCGGCGCCTTTTCCTCCTCTCCTCTTCCTCGTCCAGCTGCAACGAGACGGAGAAGCCCAGGTCAGAGCCGGCAGGTGTGGGGCAGGGCAGGAGGTAGGGGTGAGCACCCGGCAGCCCCACTGGTGGGCAGGGCAAGGAGAGGGGTGGCAGCCACCCATGCCAGTGGCCACCAGCGACGTGGTCTAATCCTCATCAGGAACCAGGCATGCTGCTGCCACAGCCTCTAACTCTACTCTGTGGGGACACAGGGAGGGAGACTAGTGCCGTACCCACAGCTGGGGACCCAGCTGGCAGGGGACAGACAACTCTTTGCAGGGCTGCTCCCTCCCTGAGAGTGGGCAGAGACAAGGGGAATAGGACCCCATCCCGCAAAGATGGGCACAGTTTGTCACACAGACATCTACAGGCACAGCTTCGTGAGCACAGTCATTCAAAGCATCACACATGCAGCCAAGGGTGAGAGGCAGAGAAACCTGAAAGATCCCCCAGCTGGGCCTGGCTGTTCCCTCCCTTCCAGTACATGGGACTGTCTGCTGCAGCTTCAGCGCTGCCTGAGTCACAGGGCCATCGCGGTAAGGTGGGACAGGTCCCGCATCCCCTATAAAGAAGCAGGACACGGCAGTGCTTGCGCTGTTCGCCATGACTCAGTTGCTCTGTGCTGTCTGACTCAAACCACACAGGCCAGGCCAATAAGCCCTATGGGTTGGAAACCCGTAATCAAAGTATTTAGGGATATTTACTACAAAACCTGTGTAAATGGCCTATGGCATGCTTGCACCTGAGAACCCAAATCAGCTCCTTCAAGAAAAATCTGAGTTCTGGAAAGCCCTGCGAAGTCAGCATCCAGGTTACACTTTGTAGCATGGCTGGAGAAGAGGTCCCCAGTGCCTTCATCCACATTCGGCCTGGGACTCTGAAATTTGAGATGTCAGACTGAACTGCCTCATTCCTATCAACTGAGACCTGACAGCACACATCTCTTCAAATGCAGTGGCAGCAACATTTGCTTTATGAGCACTTCCACAGCCTATTTGCACCTTCTCTAAGGGCAGCTCTGGTCTGAGAAGGCAGCCGCATCCTTCCCTTCGTACCTCCCCCAAGTCAGTGTGGTTGAGGGACACATCTCACAGACGAGCCTCTCACAGCACACACCATCTGAACAGCCTTGTTGCTCCAGCGGCTGCGCTTAGTCACCTCAAAAGGAGAGTCAGAGATTCCCAATGCCAAGGCCACAAAGTGGTGGTGGGAGTGGGTGGCCACCAGATTACCCCACATGCAGGTACACCGGTGATGTCTGCAGAAAACAAAAGCTGCAGGTGCCATCGTCCACAGCAAACTGTGCACACTGCTAACATTCACCAAGTCCAAAGCCCACTAATCAAAACATCTCAGTGTGATGTGCAAGGACAGGATGAAACATTGACTCAGCAGAGTTAAGGTGAAGTACTTAAGTAAGGTGCATGTCCAATATGCAGCATGTAGCATGCTTTAGAAGCCAATGTCCAAGTTTTATAGCACTAATAGCTTTTGCATCTTCTGTACCTTACTTCCCAAGCATTTTACCAAAGTTGCTATTTTAGCTGGGGCTAAAATATTAAGCAAAATCACCACAAGCTATGCACAGACTTCCATAATGCTGGGCTGCCACCATTCCTTTGCCAAGGCAGTGCCATGGGGCATCATGCACCACACTTGGGAGAAACAGGATGGGAACCGCACTGATGCCCCCAAGTCCAGTTAGAAATGGCCAGCTCTCACTATACCCACGTAACTCAGATGCGGCAGGCGTTAGCAGAAGTGACCAGGAAAGCTCTAACTCCATGCTCTGCTGCCTTTTCCTCCTGGCAGGACCAAGATACCTTACAGCAAAGCCACAAGCAGCTCTTACAAAATTTCCACACAGAGTTTAAGAGGAGGTGGACATTAGGGTAACCACCATTCCCCTCTGCACATTTACCAACCACTCATCTACCCCTTAGATAGCTTCTCGGCCTTTTAGTTCAAGGATTATTAGGAGGGTGCAGAGAGGGGACACATGCTCACAGCTCCAAAGCTCAAGAAACACACCCCAAACTTTCCTGCAAAGTACATCTTGGGTTGTAACAGAACTGGAAGAGCAAACAGCGACCGCACAAGCCTCACAGTGTCCCTGGGAACTGCCTGACACATTTCCAAGCCTTGTTGCTCCATTCAGCGAGAATCAAAGAATAAGTGACCTGCCCCTGTCCTCTTCAGCTTCCCCTCCACCCCACAGAGGGCCCAGCAAAGGGCAAAGTCCTTTAGATGGGGTACAGATGCTCAAGGAGGGTGACTCAGCACAGATAGCGGCAGCTTGAACTCTTGGCTCTGCTTTTTGACCACAGCTCCTGTAACTTCAAGAAAGCAGGTTTCCCCCTCTCCACTTCTGCTTGATTTCAGTTCAAAAAGGTGACATGGCCCTGGTGCTGGGGGTTAGGACTCTACTCAGAGGCACAAGGGACAGTGATGGTGTATCACCCCATAGTATGTTTCAGTAGCTGATCTCCAGGGGAATCCTGTGGGTAGAAGGTCTGGGGTTGCATCCTGAATTGCTTCAGTCAGCACCATCAGGGACCAAGGTGACCAGCAGCCTGAGGGGCAGGGCTCTGTCCCAGAGGGAGCACCCCAGGTGGGTTTCGATGGCGGAGGAGCCCGGCAGCACCTGTCTCCAGCTGCCCCAAGAGGAGGGCAGCCTGCCCAGTGGGGCTGTCCACCACCCTGCGGGGAAGACAGAGCCCAGCACCCACTGGGTGGGTTTTGTGCATACTCCCAGGGACAAATACCCCAGTGCCAAGAGATGCTGGTCTCCCCAGCACAGCAGAGAAAGCTGCCTGTGCCTCAGCTCGTGGGAAGCAGCCTGCCCTCCCAGGCGCTGCGCAGAGCATGGCATGCCGGTACCCAGCATCCCCAGGCTCCGGCTCCCTGCAAGAGGAAAGCAGCTGCAGGCTGCATTGCAAAATTATGTGTGGGCAGCTTCTTGGCTACTCATGGGATAAGCAGCTACTGCTTCAGCTCCCCCAGGCTTTCGCTGCAAAGCCTGTGCCAGGGGCAGCTCCAATTGCTGTCCTCAACTCCTCAGCTTCACAGGCCACGCAGGGGAGGAACTGGCTGCAGGGAAGGCAGCCGTGTGGGGGCTGCCAGTGGACTTCCCCTTATCTTTCCTCCACATGGTGTCTCAACAAATGGCTCAGAGGACACTCAGCACTTCCAGTACCTGCTGTGGGGCAGAGCTGCCCTGTCCGTTAGGCAGAGGCCGGTGAGACCACATCCCCATGCCCACCGAGCAAAAGCAGCTGTTGCAGGGCCAGCTCAGAGGTGCCTGAGACACCCCAGGAAAGGACCTGTGCCCAGGAAGACAGCACAGCTAGACTTTTTTTCTTTCTTCCCTAACCCACGAAGCGAGGCGGGCGTTGCACCCCATTTGCTGCATGATACCCAGGCCAAGAGCTTGGGACAGCATTTGGCTTCAGCTACCAACCCACAACTGCTTTGCCCAGCGGGACCAAAGCCATAAGCACCCCCCAGACCCTTCTGATGGCCTCCCGCAGCATCCTAGCCTCAGCTCGTGCCATTGAGAAGCTGCCAAGGCACCGTGCCCCTCCAGGCAATTCCCCAGGTGAGCTCCATGGGGTGCTGCATGAGCTGATCGGACACCCCCTTGGAAAAAGAGCTCCTGTGCAAGGTAATCAGATGGACTCCATCGTACCAGTTCTCCCCGCAGAAGTCCACCGCAAGGGGCTGGGGGGAAGGAACAGGCACCCTCACTGCAGGTGGGCCTGGGTGCTGCTAAGCTTTTGCCATAAGAGTTGGGCCAAACCAAGTGTCAGCACCATTTGGAGAGTGGGCTGCTCCCTGGAACTGATGTTTTACCCCCTTTAGCTCACAGCTCATCACGGGCAGCTTTTTATGTCATCTAGCACCTCCTCGCTGATATGTCCAGAGAATGCTCGTCACCCCATCCTCATATGGCATCATCTGAGGTATCCTCACACAGGAGCAAATGCACTGTTCAGAAGGGTTATTTATCGGACCTTCTGACAGCAGCCACCACCCTCACCAACGTGGGGCCTCCGAATTGATGGGTTCCCTGCTCCGTCTGCAGGCAGTGGGAGGTGCAAACACTCACCACCAGTACAGCAAGGGTCAAGGAGTCAAAGACTGGACAACCAACACAAGACAAACACACAAGGAAAAGGCTGTGCAAGTGTCTCCCAAGTCCCTGCAGCCTGGTTCTGACGTGCCAGCCTGTAGTACTAAGCAGAAGCCACCTACCTTCCCTGTCCCAGGAGCTCCGAGGTGAAGCCACGGCACCTCCCGAGCAGTGGGGCAGGGGAAGCCCCAGCCAGCAGCGCCTGTGGCACCAGCTGAGTCACCGCTTCCACTCAGCACCATTTGCCCATGTGCCTCATCACCGTGGGAAAGGCAATGCCAACGCCAGCAGCACCAAGAGCTCGTTGGCACCGGAGACAGGATGAAAGCATCACGCAAGTCCTCTGATGGGCTGCACAGCTTCTCCTTTGGGTGCGTGCCCCAACCTAGGGACACACTGGCTGTGCCAGACCCCGCTCTGTGGGCAGGGTTTGAGTTCAGCTGGCTGCCAATGGCTGTGTGGGACCGGTCAGGTCTGGGACACCAAGGTCACCGCTCCCAGCCCATGCCACAGGCACAGAAATTCAGGCATGGTGAAGAGGCAGCCAGTGGAGCAGCTGCTAACACGCGTGCACGTCACCAAACAGGCAGCGTGACATGCTTATGAAACATGTTGCTGGCCACCCTGGCAGGAAACCCAAGCACAGGCAGGAGAGAAACACAGGCAAGTGCAGGCAATGGCCCTACAGGGCCACCTGCAGCCAGCAGCCCCCAAGACTCACCTCACTTTTCACAGGCTGGGGTCTCTTCCCAAGCTTCACCTCCAGGAAGTGGAGAGGTGAGATCATGGCCCCAATGTTGCGGATGTCAGCGTACTTCAGCTCCTCGGCAGTCAGGGCTGTGCCAGGCAGTCCCGTCACGGGGCCAAGCCCAGGCAGCGCGCCGGCCGTCAGGGACGGGTCGGGGATCTGCCCTGGCATCATAGCAGGAGAAACAGCTTCGTAGGCTGGAGGGAGAGTGAGACACAGCCCATTACAACCCAACTACAGGGCCTCATGACACAGCACAAGCCAAATTTATTCCATAGTCCCATCACCTAACA